ATCTGTTGCAAAAGTAACATGTTTGGCCTGCACCTCTCCGTAGCATCCCGGCCGGCCGGGCAAGGGCCTTAAGAAGAAACGCAGAGGAGGGGGACAGGGTAGGGGATACCCCGGGAGAGTGCAGGAGAGTGCTGCTGGCAGAGCTAGCCTTCGTCTGGAATGCGCTCGCTGGCTCTTCCTGATGTTGTGACCTTGGGGAAATTGTTTAATCTCTGTGAACCTCTATTTTTCTATCTGTCGAGTGGGGATAACAGTCTTACAGGGTTGTTGTAATGAAACCCTCCACGTGTACATACAGCACAGCCCTGGAGATCAGGAGGGACTGTGACTGCCAGCAACACGTGCCTTTGACCAAGTTGGGTTTATTACCGTCTTGTAGGGAGGAAGAATGCATACATGGGCAGCCCTGGTGTATCTCTGTAGAAGGTGTTAGAATTTATTATGGGATTTGGCCTCATGGTCTGTGATTTGGGGAAGGGTTCAAGAAAGTAAAGCCTGCGCTGGATCCGATGCTATCAGTAATTGGGGGGTAACTCTGTGACTGGGTATCATAAATCCTATTTAGGAGTGAAGACTAGACGGAGGCTAAAGCCATAATTGATAAGAAGCAGCAGTCACTCCTAATTAGCTATTTTTGGTTATTTTTGTGGTTTAAATAATGTGTTCGGACAAGATTATGGAGCAGTCTTGTTTTTGTTTTGATCATGGTCACAGAACGGCCTTGTCTGATGCTGGTGTTCTGTGAAATTGTTTTTATTCCACAGAACACCATAGTCCCAAAGAGCTCATGGCAACACCCAGGTCAGCCCCTGGATGTCACAGCTACTTTCTCTTCCTCAGCACTCAGTAAATGACAGTTAAGTCACAGAATGAGTCAGAACTCTTAGATCTGAATCTAATGACTACTTAGTAGCTTGTAACTTTGGAATTGCCACTTAACTCCTCAGCTTCTTCAAATGAGCATTTATAAAGCACTTATTATGAGTATGAAACAGTGGAGTGTGGATGTTGGAAAGAAGGCATGCAAATATGAACAAGACACAGTTTCTTAGGAAGACAGATATTTAAAAATTTCAGTACATATTCAGAGTGGGATGGGACAATGAGAGCAGGAACAGTTAGTCTGGAAGGGAGGG